GCTTCAGTCGATTTTTCTTCCCGTCGTGGCCGGTTGCTCGACTCGTCGTTGGCTTCGTGAAACGAAGAGCAAGCAACACAGACAACTGCAATTGTTGCCAGACTTTGCTATTGCAAACGGCAAAATTGGAGACGCCATTGTAACGGAAGGGGGCTGCGAGGACGAGTCTGCTGCCGCGCTCTGTCATCGCGTGAGCGTCTTGATGGATCTTTCACTTCGCGATGAAGATACGAAGCTTACCTTTGTTGAAGCATATTTGATTACCACTCTTCGTGCTTCGCCTGACAACGTTTTGGGCCTGGAATCTCTATTGTCCAATCTTGTGGTCATTCGTGCTGCCCCCACCGCACCAACAGATGAACCAAGCTTTAGCCCGAGCTCTCGTCCATCTACCTTTCAGCGTACTATTCAGCCTACCGATGTACCATCATCACAACCATCACTTGCCCCAGTTGTTGGTCCCACTACTCTTGAACCAACAAGATTCCCGACCAAAGCACCAACAAAGGCTCCGGTCGCGGCTCCAAATTTGGCAACTGAAAACCCAACCACAAGCCCAACCAAAACACCAGTCGTTGCTCCTATATTGGCTCCTGTGGTCGGCCCAACGCCACCGCCAACGCAAGTACCTACGAAGGGCCCATCGGTGGCTCCATCGTCGGCTCCATCAAAGGTCCCCACGAAGGTCCCCACGAAGGTCCCCACAAAGCGTCCAACTACAAACCCCACTTCCACCCCGACCAGGATTCCAACGGCAAGTCCAACTTCCGGCCCCACAGATGGTCCAACAGTGGCCCCTACAAAGGCTCCAACTGAAATCCCGACTTCTGGTCCCACCGGTAGTCCGACACTGCAAGCTAGCCAATCTCCAACGGTGATGACATCAGTCATAACGCCATCGGCGACAGCCCTGCAGTCATCCGATTTTTATTGCAACCCTGACTTGTGCGCAGGTGATGGAAGTGGGCAGTTGATGCCTGGTACGCCAGCCGGTGAAGCTTCAAATGCCATTGATGGCAATATCGATGGCAACTACTATAGTGGATCAAGTTCACACACCTGGACACAATGGAACCCATACTGGCAAGTACAAGGAATTGCGGGCCCTGTCAGTACAGTACGCATATGGAATAGAAATGGTGAAGCGGGTGCAGATGACTTGGTTGGCGCAAATGTAGATCTGCTGGACCATAACGGAGAGGTCCTAGCAACTCGCGAAATTCAGGGTGTTGCACACTTCCGGGAATTCGAGTTTGAAAGTATCAGCGGAGTCGACCTGCTCCTTGCAACCTTCTGGGAATTCGAGTTTGATAATGTCAGCGATGTTGATACGGTCCGAGTCTTGCACCCTTCCCTTACATTTCTCATCATTGCAGAAGTCGAAGTCCTTGGTGGAAGTTCTCACAGCTCATTAATCACTGAATCTTCGGTAGCCTCGCAATCGTCGTCTTTAAATTGCGATGCATGTATGTACGTTCCACATGGCTCTGTTGCTGGGCCAGCAAGCCTAGCCATTGACGGTAATCGAAATTACCCAGGGGCTCATACACAGGCTCAGGTAGACCCGTGGTGGCAGGTGGATCTCCAGTTGACCGCAACTGTGAGCAGGGTTGTCGTCTGGGGCCGTGAGGATTCTTGCTGCATTGGTTGGTTGTATGGCGCCAGAATTCATTTGAAAGACACTTTTGGTAATGTCATTCACACTGAGATAGTATCAGATGCTGGTGTGATGAGTACTTTTGAATTTCCTCCCGTTGAGGATGTTGCTGCAATTCAAATTGTTATGGGTGCATCACCTGAATATTTTCCCTTGAATATTTTGGAGGTCGAGGCATTCGGTGTTATCCAATGATTATTGGGCCATTGCTAGACCAATTTCTGCAATCCATATTGCCAATGATCAATTCTAGAAACTAAGGAACTTTTCATCATGCAATAGAGATTCTTCACTATAGTCGCCACATCATCTTCCGCCTCAAATGATGCCAGTCACTTGTTCATCAATGCCGCTTTCTTTGAACCGTTGTTGTACTGAGGCCGAGAACAATTTTGGCGACATAATTCCATAAGAAAATTGGTTACTTGGCAGTGCCAGAGATCTTAGCAATTGGTGACATGTAAAAGTAGAATGACATGGTTGTTGGACAAAAGTTGAAAAAAATTAAACGAGGACTGATCAGCATCATTGGGAATGAAACAATACCGGCCGACGGCTGCGGTGGCTGTGTCCTGTGGCTTGCTTTCCATTCTGTCACTGCAGCGACCCTCGCCCATCCAAACCATTGCCATCGCATGTAGATATATTCTTCAATCAATGTGGTTTCCATTCTGGGATCAATCAATCAACCATTCGAGCATATTAAAATTTGGCAATCCCATAAGATTCATTGATTGATAAAATGATACTCTAGCCACGATTACTCCCGATAAGTGTCTTGTTGGTTTGATTCTGCACAACTTCTTTCCAATGAGGATTCGATAAGAATTGTATCATGGTATTCTTCACCACATCGTTCAAAGCAGGTTGCGCCATGGGAATGGAATTCACAGTGGCATTCAAAATAGGCTCCCTCAAAGCACCATTGGGCAAACCCACCACAATGGGCAAGAGAGCATTGTGAACCAAGGGAGATGGTAAAAAGGAAGCACCCAGTGGAATGGTCTGTTGGCTGGCTAGTGATGTGGGATCGTAGTGAGCTTTCAGAGGGTTTGGTGGGGGTTTGTTCCTGCGAAAGGGAAGACTGTTTTCCCCATCGTCATCGTACGATTCGGATCTTCGCTGCAGTTGCTGCTGGCGTTGTTCTTGTTGTGCTGCTTGTTTGTCTGCGGCATATTTGGTTCCCATGAAGTACTGATCTCGTTGGTATTGAAGTGATTGCAACGTGGAATTGTAAAAGGGCAATTTTCGGACGTCTTCTGCTTCCTTGGGCAATTGATCTCGGACTTGTTCTACCAAAGGATCAGTCTTCGGCTCAACTGTTTCCACCAATCGTTTGGCGACTGCATCGAGCAGCCTGTTTCTAGCTCGTGCGTACAAGATGCTTTCCGGGCTGACAGCTGTAGTAGTGTTGTCGTCTTTCTCAGAAACATCCATATTGCGCTTATCCGGCATCATAGGTTTGTAATGAACTTTTCTTTGGACGACTGCAATATGGATTTTTAAAATGTTGTGTTCATTCAAACAAAAGATGATGATTCAAATAGTCAGCCTTTTTTTCTTCTCCAACGAATGCAAATGCCCCCTTCCCCATGCCTCCAAAGGTGCGAAATAAGACGAGAAGAACACCTCAAAGTTTTCGTACCGGTATACGAGTAGTCTAAATTTATCAGCATACCCGCACTTGGCATTGAAAATATATATCCCCCTACTGTACAGTACACAAGAGTTGTTGATTGCGCTGATTCCACTGCTAGGAAGCAATATTTAGTCGTTAAGTTCATGTAGCTATCAACATAAATTCTCCTCATGCATGAAGTTGCGTCGCGCATCGTGAAAAAGGTCCAAAATGTCCCAGTGATTTTATGAAAACAGTAAAAGTAAATATATTAATGTGCGAAATGGTGTCACCACTGCCTACTACCCTCTTAATGACGTCGGCGTCGTTTCGCTTTCCTCGTTGCTCGTTCTTCTTCAAATGCTTGTATAGCACCTCTGGTGCAATAGTCTTCCGGCTCCCAGAGAGGTTTCCATTGGCATTTGTATAATACAGTTTCGCCATCCTGCGCCTTTCTCGTTTCGAGGACCTTGACTCCAAAGCCTTTTTGCTTGAGCGCAAAATACATTTCTTCCGTCTCCCAAGTGTCTTTCCATTTACAAAGGTAATACGCACTTTGTCCTCTTGGTTTCTTTCGTTTCACAAGCTTTTCCACAAACCATTCCTTGACCTCCAAAATCTCGTCCAAGGTCTTCATTTCCCCATTGTACTGAAATAACGACGGTGATGACTGGGAATCATCACCGTCACACGTCGGCGGCGAAGAAGAACTTCTGGCTTTGGCTCTTCTACCACCAGTAGCACGCCGTTTCCTTTCTCTTTTTCCGGAAGGGATAGAAGCCATATTGGCAGGATTTTCCTCGTCGTTATGGTCGCCCAATGATGCTGATGCTGATGATGCTGATGACGATGATTCCTTGCTGGATGCAGTACGCTTTCGTTTATTGACAGCAGCTTCTTTTTCAGAGTTCGTTGGCAATCTTCTTGCCTTCTTTCCTGCAACATTACTACTACTAGCACTAGTACTAATACTCCAATTGTTATAATCGAATTCTCGAGTGGGTGACGGTGATCTTGGTTGTGTCATGATGGAGCAGGCGTCATCTTCGTCGTCCGAGTCATAATCATCATCATAGGAGATTGTACTATTAGTATTCGTTCGAGAAACACCTAATGCGGCTGTGCCCTCAAAGGATGGAATTGGTAGCCCTGCAACATTCATTAGTAGTTGAGAGTAGTAGTTATGGCAATTGATTCAGAATCAGAATCAGAATCAGAATCTGTAGGTATAGACGGCAACAGACGAGTGCCTCCTACTCTGGTAATCTAACGTAGACGAAAGCTCGAGAACGAATCATTGGATTCCTTTCATCATACTGACGACGGTCGAACGACCGTCTCAACATCATTGCTCCGCAACACCAAGTCCGATCAATTTATCGAACTTGTGTGCGAGTATACATCAAGAAATACGTTTATTTCTTTCTTTGCGTGGTCTTCTGGAACCGCACGCTTCGCGCGCAATCCAGAAGACCAGCTTCACACCACAACCCTCCAGAGAAAGAATCCCTCACGGGGATATTATTGTGGTGGGCCACTATTTACTTAGGGGCAAAAGATATTCATGCGCGCATTATAAATAAAATTAGCCATACATTTTCTCGTAGTATCGACCATCGGGTTAAATATGGAGACGTCGCATGAAATCCAGCAAATTCGCCATGCCCCATCGTGCCTCTTCCCTCAAAAGCAGCACTTGCTCCCTCATTGTGAAGTTCAATCAGTCAACACAACATTCCATCGCATCACAAAAACATTGCTCACTCTTGTTAGATAAGGGTACCGGCAAAATTGCTTCACAAATTGAGGCGAAGCTTCGACAGTTTCAGCCTAATCAAGGCGGCACAACAAGGAACAACAAGACCACCTCTCTAAGATGCAACAAACGTGTCACAAATCCGTATTGTCGTCCCGCGCAACGAAGTGTTGAAATGAAGCCGACGGCTATCTCAACTGACAATTTGCTTGGCTCCAAACCCGAGCTCTCCACATTCAAACATGGGCTTTCCGCGTTCAAGAGCAACCGCCCTGAGTACTGCAATGTTGGAGTGGCGATGAGTTTGCAAATGCGCCACTACACAGGGGATGGGCGCGGTATAATGCTACTACACGAAAACTACATGAGGAAACGGTCGGCCTACCAACTTGAAAAACCTCGAGGATGGGACTTCCGCTCTATTGACTGCTAAGGCCAGTGAAGATGCAGGCACACCTACCAAGTCGTGGTTTTCAATCCTTTGAATACTGCTATGTATTCCCTCCTTATCAGTGCAATGATATCCAAAACTACGTCAAGGGCAGACAAGCTGGCGAGATGGTATGTGGGAGACCAACACAAAATGACAATGTCCCACTAAGTCAATCATGTTGAAGGGCTGGGCTCCAGTTGATTGACTTTGTTCTTTCCAGTTATTCTTTGAAAAGTAAAACATAGTAATATTCCTCGTAGTATTTGGTTCTCAATTTTGCCTCAATATCTTTTGCGAAAAAATCACACCATGAAACATGCAGAGAATATTTTGGTCACCATGTAAAAAAAAATGTCTGTCGTGCGTTTCAGGAAATACACCATAAAATCGCGAAATTCAACACTGAACTCCCAACTGTAAATATGGTTCAGAAAAGACCAGGAAATAAAAATAGTGCAGAAATCAATCATCGGATTCAATCTTACCGCACTCTTGATTCAAAAGGTGACTTACAGCGTACAGACAGTGAGGACTCCAAGAAAGACGGTCCTGCTGGCGCAAAATCAAGGCAAAAGCCCCCTCTGCCCCTATGAATTACATGTCTTGCCCCCATCAAGCGCATTTCTTTTACTTAAGGATAGTGGACCATGTACGACATGAAATATATTCAACGGATCAAAAAGCGTCAGATGGAATTCAGAATTTCCTTTCTCCTTTTTTCTCCTTCCCTTTCTTTTTTCCTTTTCCCCTCGTCTTTTGTCCCCCAATAGGAGCCTAATACCCCCCCAAAATCCTGTCGGGAAGAAACCAGGCGGTAGGCGCCAGTTGGCTATATTCTTCTTCAGTGACAGGCATGCGATAGATATGATACCGGTACGATTGAATAGACGATATTCATACTGAATGAGTAGATATAGTATGCTTTGATGGACGTCATGATGTTGAATGACTCATCTGACTTCAAATCATCATCGTCCGATATCTTTTGAATATGCGGGCGCGTTATAATATGTGCGTTTTGCAACAGTAACGATCTTCAGAGACAACTGCTTTTGTCTTTTGACAACAAAAGCAACAACAACAACAACAACAACAAAAACAACAACAAAGAAGCATGCAAGACGACAGCGATCGGAATGTTTATCACTTTCGAGGTGCAAAAGACGAGACTGTTCCCTCCATGGTACAAACCGTAGTGGTGGACCAAAGTGTCACCGAGTTGCCGGACGCTTTTGGCAATCGATTGCATCGCAGAGTCAAAGAATTGATTCTGAAAGGAGTAAAGGTCATCGGAAAAGATGCTTTTCGCAAGTGTGGTTTGCAACAAATCACAATTTATACTGCGAATACTCAAGCCATCTCTACCAGAGCCTTTGAAATGGCCACCTGCTTGGAGAATGTTGACTTTGTCTCACCATCACCATCCAATAATGAGCATGCGTCATTATCGTCATCGGAAGGAAAAGATCTGACAGTGATTGAAGAGGAAGCCTTTGTGGATTGTTCCTCCTTGCAACGAATTAAGATCCCATCCACTGTCAAGATGATGGGCAAGCATGTCTTTGCGGATTGCTCTTCCCTGGTGGAAGCAAATCTATCAAAACCTTGTATGAAAATGATAGCACCTTGTACTTTTGAATCCTGCCGGTCCTTGCAAGCCATAAGTCTACCTGGGACTCTGGAGTGCATTGGTCACTTGGCGTTTCGGGATTGCTGCTCACTGGTGACGGTGGAGATTCCAGCTGCTGTGGAATCCTTGGTCATTCAAGAGCGGGCCTTTTCGAATTGTCAAAGGCTTATGAATCTGACACTTCCAGCGAACTATTCGTCGGATGAAACTTCCTTTGAAGGATGCAAACTGCTCGAGGAAAGCTTTGGCAAGGACGAGGCTGAGTTCCTGGAGGATCTTGACGATGAAACAGATAGTACTGTCGAAAGTTCTTTGGGTTGCCGCATTGCCGCAGGCTTGAGTAACCGTTTTCGGTTGCACCCTATTCACAAGCTATGTTATCATTCCTCCACTACTACAGTGGAGGAATTTCGTCGTGCAGTCCAAAACCAACACCAAGATCCAGCGCCTAACAACAAAAACACTGGTGATAATATTTGCACCATGAAGATGACTCCATTTCATATCCTTTGTTCCTCCGTCGAGCCCCGCCAAGATCTGTTTGAGATCCTATT